ATATATTTATTATTTTTATTATATTGACCTTTCAGTCGTGCCTGGCTAACATTACAGAAGTTACAATGATGCAGCACACATACACTCATGATATCGTATCCAAGAATATAAAACTAGTCTTTACAAATGACCTGTCTTGGCTATGCTTTAGTGGACTAGTATTTTGTAAAATAGTCACATTTCTGTTATAATACATTATATATGTATATAAACTATTATAATAATTAGAAATAAGTTCTTGAACTTATTTTCTTAAACATAGAAGAGTAAATGAAGAAGTAATGCAAACAATTATGTCTTCTAGTTACAACCTTTGCTGCTTGATGTAGGTTGCTAAGTCTTTTAAAATTTTGCATGTGGAGGATATGAAACAAAATAATTTTTTTTAGGTTATATATATATATACAAAGTTGAATAACCAAACATCATAAATTACTATATCAATACCATAGAATTTCACTATAATTTATCAAGCTTAGTAACTGAGCTGTATTTGGGTCTAAAAAAATATGAAATTTCAAGCTCACTAAAGTGTTGCATTACCATTTGAAATCTACCATCAAAAGAACGAGTTTGTTGCCCAAATATTTCAAAAAGGCTGAGAAATCCACTTGGGGGGACATTCTGAGCTTTAAATTGGTTATTCACATGTCATTGACAGAAGTAAGTGTGTATAAGGAAGTGTTTCCAAAAATGGCCAGAAGTAGGCAAGCCCACTGTGTTTGATTCAGTACATGTAGTGATATCTCAGCAAATAGAAAAGATAGGATGTTCATATATTATATTCTTGCTTGACAATATCCATAATTTGAGTTCCTAATTCATAAGAAACTATAGACTTTGTATTTGAACATCATGAACATCTAATTTGAAGTAATGCTGCATTCAACATACCATGTGACACACAAGAATTGATATTTAGGTGTTTTTTTAATATTTACCTTTAAATTAAGAAATTAACTAATGTATAATATTAAAATTTGAATTATAATCTACAATTTGATACTAAACTTATTGACATAAATTCATAAAATAGTAGTTCAATAAAATTTTGCATGCGAGTCAACAAACATGATGACGTGGCCTTTGACCCGCGACGATATGGTTAATTAAGTCTTGAACGTAACTCTCTAAAAAGTTCTGACATGCACACTTTGACCTGCCCATAGTGAGGGAGTTAAAAGATTATGAAACAATTTTTCTCCACTGTCTTTCCCAATTAATAATTATCTTAGAATATAGATTTAGTAATATATTATAGCAGTTTATTCTCGGAAAATATTAACTGCTATACCTAATTCTTTTAATTACACGCTATTGTTTTGCAGCTATAAATGATACATTGCAGCAACACCAATTTGTCAAACATACACATCCTGTAAATAATATTAATTTTCTCATCTACCAATTCTTCTTTTTTTACTCTATACTACTTGTTCCTTAATCTAAGCCTATAATCTTTTTTTACTTATGCAAACTGAATGGTACAATATTTTACCAGCTATGTTTTACTTATACAAGCATATCCCGCACTCCTTGTATAAAAATCTATCAGCCTTTGATAGAATTAAAATAAACTAAAAATATTAATTTCATTTCTTGTAAGCCAATCATATCAAATTATAACCAATGGTGCTGAGGTTATGGGCAACCAGAAATTATTTCTGGACACAATTACCATTAAATACTGTGCCTTAAATCATTTCATGAACTTCATCATACCAGTTTGGTAAAACGTAGAAGTGGTGTTATGCATACACTTGTGTACACCTGATTTACCCATCAGACTGTCTTCAAGATGATTAAACAATAGAATCATATATATATATATATATTATTCTAACAATTGATGTGTGTGTGTACATCCTTTTCACCCTCTTTTGTTAAGAACTCAATTACAGCATATTAATCAAACCACCTGCTTAGAGTAAGTGGCCATAGACATCTTTTACAGAACTGTGGAAAGTCCAGAGCTGAATCACCTACTTTTATCTGGCACAGATAACAGCTCACATAATCCCCTATACAAGGAGTATGCAGACTGATAAATACCAGTTGATGAGCCTTGAAAGATTACATTTCTCTCCACGATGCTGTTACATCCATTCTGCTGAAAAAGAACCTGAGTTTTCAGAGCCAGTTCAAGAAGAACCTCCAATGCATTTGTAACTCCTCTTCCATACAACAACTAAGTCATTTGGTTGTATCCAGGTAGAAATGTTTTCAACATAATTTCAAAATGTGCAGTAAATAATTGCTACATCATTATCTAAGCCATCAGTAAAACATGGACTAATACAATGTACCTATCTGAGGATACAAACTTCATATTTTTAACAAGTGGCCACGCTTGTGCATACTATAATTTTGGCTCATCAATGCACACTCAACACTTTTCTGTTTCTAAATTTATGTGCCAGTTGTATTCAGGTGCAAACGTTTTCAAAATCATTTTGGAATATGTGATAAGTAATTGAGGCATCATTATTTATCACATCAACATGACAGAACCAAGGATTGACACAATGGGTAAAAGCTTCATCTGTCTGAAAAATGGATATTCTTTGTATATATTGTAACCTTGCCTTTGGAATGCATATTTGGCACTTTTCTATGTTATACTCATATGTGGTATTTAAAAACAAGGATGACAACACTGTTGTTCCTTTCTACCAAAAAATCCAATTCATTAGGAAGGATGTGGTTAGTTATCAATTCTTGGTGGCTAGTTTGTCCAAACCTAAGATACAAAGGAACAAAATTGCTCACCAAAGCAGAATGAATCAACACAGTGCTCTGTATACAGCATAAGTATTTTCCAAATACAAAATTGTATAACCCAGTATGTAATCCTGGAAGATAAGTATCAGTCCAATCACATTAAAGTATTCAATCATCAGTTAGTTCGCAAGATTTTTCAGAATCATTCGTACATAAATGTTGCTCTTGCACATGTATTCTCCAAAAAAATTTCATATCCATTCCGTTACAACTGTTATGGTCTTCCATCTTTATATATAACAGTGGCCACAGTACAAACTGCTTTTTGTCCAGGGGGTTTCTGTAGCATTGATCTCCAGCAGGGAACAAATTACTAAGTACAACAAACACTTGGGTTCATGTTTCAAGTGTCACATCAGTTAAATTTGATGATAAGGAATCAACTTTTTTAGAAAATAAAATTTGGAGATTGATTGAATGGGTAGCAAAAGAAACTTTATAACAAATGTGCAACATTTGTTATAAAAACAGCCTGTCAAAATGGTATATGTTTGTAATAAAGTCTCTTTTACTACTTATTTGAGCTGTCTCCAAACTTTTGTTACATCAGTTAGCCGAGTGTGCACATAACAAAGTTGGCATGTCTGTTACCTTTGACCTGATGTCAACACTCGAGGTTTGTATTATCTGGTTTCCTCAAAGATGTACCAAGCATCTAGATGAGGATTATTAGATTGAGGGCTAATGATGGTATCTGTTACAAATGACACCATCTATGGCAGGACTTTACCATTTAGATGCTCATACTTTAAATGGCTAATGACATCCTTTATTCTTTCAGTATAATTGAATGATGTATCCTACTATTACTTCAACATTACACCACTCAGTAAACAATTTAATAAAGCAAAATATTACTGCTTCTTTAACTACAAAGATGTTTGAATTTCATTGGATAATGTAGTTTTTGATGTGTAACTACATGACTGGCTCTACTGATCAACATGTGATCTTATTAGCTAATACACAGAATGTACATAAGATATGCTCTTTGGTTTCCCTTTTGCATGTTTTACATTTGCTTCACAAAATGTGTAAATACTTCGAAATACAATAACAGGCAAATCTTGACCCTTTATGGCAAAATAACCTGTACCATCTTTAAACAATATAGTTTTCCAATATTTATCACACCTCACAGTAATAAACAAGACACTGAAGACTAAAGTTGTTTAAAGATGGTCCTCACATTAGAAAATTAATGCAAGGTAGGAAAAATGACAGCAACCAAGCAAATCACACTAGTAAGTCAACACAGGATTCAGTGCACATGGCATTAATAATGATGTGGAAATAGACAAATTCATTTCAGTAAATTATCATGAAAACTTCAAAGGTAAATACTTATTTCCTCATCTTCATCTATAGACAAATTCCCATTTTAAAAATGTTTGTCCTTTATTTTGATACCTCATATATTAACACAATTAGTTTTATCAAACAAATTAACTATTAAAATTTGTGCTGATACAAAAAAACAATAAAAAAATACATGCCAAAAGGATTAAACATTTCCACAATCACCAAACAAAACAGCAGCAGCACAAGGTGAATGATAATTATAATATTCAATATGACTGAAAAATGTTTTAAAACTAAACAGATTAAAATAAATAGAAAATATTTACCAAATGTGAGTAAGAAGCCATACATCATATTTAAAGTAAAAGAATACCATCCTCTATGCTCCAAATAGATCAAGGAATAAATAAAGTAGCATCCAAGGAGAGGAAACAGTAGCCATGACAGGTACTTGAAAGCAAGCTGAGAAACAAAAAAAAAAATTATATATATATATACACACATTAACCTTTAACCACAATTCTCTCTTTATTACCTAGAAAGCATAATTTCATCAGCTATGATGTAAAAATAACTTTTCTAATGTACTATTTTTTTTCTAGTGAAATTAGACACCACTAAATCCTTTAGGGTACATTTTTATCTAATCTTTATCTAAAACATCTGAGTAAAAATAAAAACATACAATTCAAACACTACAGAGTTTCATCAAAGTTAGACAAAGGAAGATCTACTAGATATCAATTAAATTATAAATATATCAATTCATGTGAATATGACTGAAAAATTTCATTTTTTCTGAATAGGTGGTGTCTATTTACTTGTGACCAGGCTGTGTATATTTATTGTTGTTTGGTTTATATATATTTAAATAATTTTTATTTTTCATGTCAGTATTATATACATGAATGATTTTACTACACCATGTCAAATAAATTGATTCAAATATCTCCCCTTTCACACTTCTTATAACTGCCAAAAAGTGCTCACTTTGTTAGTGGCCTTTTCTTGCAGTCAACAAAATGACAAGGAATGGTGACATCTAGTGGAAAAAAAATCCTTGCGGCTACTTAGGGAACCCAAGTGTTCTTTTTTTGTTGGATGCATCCATTTCACTGAATTCTAAACATATTTGACAACAATGCATTGCAATAAGTCTCCTTTCATTAAAAACAAATGCAATTAAATTTTCCTTATTGAAATAACGCAACGAAAGACAAAAGTTTACATTTTCCTATCCTGAAAATGTATTTCCGATAATACTTTCCTCCTCTCACACTTTAGCTTTATCTAGACAAAAGGTTCACTTCTTTGCCTGTCTAAGCAATGGTGTGAATTCTAACTCACTTGCTCCAGTCTTTAAACCCCACTATATCACCCTTAGTGATTTTAATCTTGTTACTCTCTCCACACATGTCAACGTGCCCTCAATACCTGATCCATATATAAGCTCCACATTATTCTTTCTTATTCACTTTTTCGAGACTGGCAAGATTATCAGACCCAAACACTGACTATCATGAAGAGAAAAGGTGGGATATTGTGAGCGGAGGTATTATTGGAAATACATTTTCAGTTTAAGAAAATGTAAGCTTCCCAAACACACTTACCCCCTCTCACACTAGCTAGAATCCCACATTGACCAGGTGGAGAGGCTGGTGAGGGCAAGATCCACACATAAAGCATCTGCATAGAAAAACAGGTGTGCAAAATTGAGATATAATAAAGCACACAAGTGGGGGTCTGCACTACTTTTCGAAACAGGTATGCTCTTTGCCCAGGTAAAGTGAAATCTAAATGTAGGCTGTAAGGGCCAACTGGCCACAGAGTCAACATTGTTCATTATCATGAGATCTGTCCAGGCCCCCAACCACACCATACAACATTCCACATCTCGTTGTTGGTGGCTGTGAACTGAAAGCTAGATCTAAGGTGTAGTGGATGGGCATAGGGACCACAATATGATATGAAGGGAACCCAACCTGAAAGTTACAGTAAGTTGCATGTCAAGCCACTGGAATTATGAAGAGAAGGCAAGCAATACCTAAGTGTACAAATCCTCACTCGAACTTGAAGAAGCACAAAATACAACAAACTGAAACCGGAATTCCAGCCCAGGCACCCAACCTGAAAGTTAGAATGTCGTATGTGAGTCACTGGAATTATAAAGGGAAGGCAAGCAACATTCAATCAGACAAGTCTTCCCCCCAGCCTGAACAAGCTCAGAATGCAACAAACCAAACTCAGAATTTTGGAGTCAATTCACACCTCACTGAACCTGAAGAAACAGAGATCATTCGGCCTGGGATTACAAACCGAAATCATAACTTCTCAACCTGGGAGGCAAGGTAACATCCCCTGTCCCCAAAATTATGAGGAGGATGTGGAACAAAGTTCAACCAATGGCTCACAGACGTGACACTCAGTGTACGGAATTACGAGGATTCGAGGGCTCTCCTCCATAATCATGGAAAGTAAGAGAATGACCAAAAAGAAGGGCCATGTTCATACAACTGGATAGCAAAGTGTCATCTCTGAACTGGAATTATGAGGAGACTCCCACTTAGACTGGACCAGCTCCCTACCCAACATCTGGGAAAACCATCCAAGGTTAAGAGTGGGAGGGTAACTAGCTTTGTCCTCTTCTCCTTGTGTGGAATAAAGAGTAAACAAGTCACTCAGGAAGAATAGACCATTGTCCACCACTTCAGCGACTGGAAACTGAAAGTGGTAAGGACTCACTAGCTCCACTAAAAGAGATAGGGAAGAGGGGCTCATGTTAGGGAGTCCTGAAGAACAATGCTCCAGAGACAGTGCAATGGGTGAACCACATTTCCTATTTTGAAAATCAAGCCAACTCCAATATGTTAAATCCAGGGGTTAGCAGGGATGGGCATAATGTCTTGGTGTTTTACTCATGTTAGTCCATGAGTGGCGGTCCATTATTGTACGTGATATTTGACATAAAACAATTGTTCACCACCAGGAAAGCACCAAGACAGTGTGCTGGAACACCCTATCTCAAAAAAGCTTGTTTCTAACAGGAATTTAGTTATTAATTTACTGGTAGCTAGTACACACACACACACACACACACATATATATATATATGGAAGATGATATACTGAACATCATCCCCAAAGGTTCAAAAGTGGACATAATAATGAATGGAGAACAATTGTTGGAACGAGATAGCTGTTCGGCCACTACATTCATTACCCCGAAAACATAACAAGCAAGGAGAACAATTTGGTGTTTTTGTGCCCAACAGAGATGATTCACTGTTCAAAGACAAAGACATCTGGAGTGAGCGCCCCTTGCTTTGAAAAGGATGAGACTACTGTGGAATCATCCAAAACTAGCATTACCATCTTTCCTTGCAACAAATCAAGATCATGGGTCATAGCTTGTTGAACTGCTAAAAGTTCTAAAAGACTGATGTGGAGAGAAGCTTCCTCTACAGTCCAAAGTTCTTTGAATTGTCTATACAAGCACCCCAGCCCTAAAGAGAAGCATCTATGAACAGATGTATCTCTGGCTGTGGAAGTGGTAGAAGGATACCCACAGTTGGACTGTACCTGTTCAACTAACAGCTGAGATCCAGCACAATGGAATCCGACAGTCTCACTGGACAATGCAGCACATCTGTGCAAATGTTCCACTGGTCCCGTAACAACCATTGAAGGGCCCTCATTGACCTAAAGGAATGAGCTAAGGATGCCCACATCCCCAAAAGAGACAGAACTCTGCATGCAGGAAAAGAACTGCCTGTTCCATGGCCTGAAGGAATAGAGGAGAAGGGTTACCCCAGCCAAGTCTGGAAGTGAAAACACCCCAAAATGTATGAGGTATTGTATGGGAGTAAGAATAGAATGGAGACAGGCCCCATCTACTCAAGATTTCATGGATTCTGGAATACCCACAAAATAAACTGAGAAAAGGAGCTTCTCTTAGATCCCTAAGGCCCAATGCAGGATGGTGACCTCCCTCCAGTTGGGTCTCTCTCTCCAAAAGGCCTCAGCAACAAACCAACCAAGATACCAAGGAGAAAGCAGAAGCCAGATTGTGTAAGATGAACAGTGGCATCTTTTCTAGAACCCCAAATAGGAAGTAGAGGGTCTATCCTTTGAGTCCAAATAAGGGTTCACCAGGTGATGGAAACCCAAGGCATGCTGATCCAATAAATGAGAGGACAAGGCATGGCAACACCCTCCCTCAAATGATCTGCAAATCTCCTTGTATGCACTGCAATGTCTGGCAAAGGTGGAAAGACCAGGTAATTAGATGGACTAGTTTCTCCCAATAAAGAAAGTGAAGATACATAAACCACTGGATCATTACTCAAAACATTACAAACATGGCATACTAGTTAATAAAAAAAAAGAAAGAAGCAGGACATCTATCCGAGGTTCCTGAGTAGCTGTCTGAGCAGAGGAAGGGACTGGAAAACTTGAGTCTAAATTCTCATTTGTCTGCTCTTGATCTACCACAAACTCTGTCTCAGAGTCAACAAGATAAAAAAATAGACAGCATGCAAGATTCTGCCCTTCTGCGTATAATGAACTATATGTCCTCACCTATTTTTTTTTTTTTAACAAAGAGTACGCAGAATTGCAAGTAGGGCCCAAAAAGCCACTTTTAGTCTTTTGCATTTTCTGATTTCTTTATCACTGACTTCCATTTTTGCCCTCCATGGTTAACAGGATACCAATGGCTGGTGTTTAAGAAGACAGCTCCCAAAACTAGTACCACCAGTACCAATAAAGCCAGTGTAAATTATTTATAAATTAGTGCAGTGAAATCCTGCCAGATCCAAAAATGTTTCCAAGTAACTGAACTGATGGTCAAGGAAGAAAATAATTTCATTTTCATGCCATGAAAACCACAAACTTTTAATGATATGTGCCAGAAAAACATGTATTTAAATTATTTAATTCTTTACATAAACCTTATTTCAAGGAAAGATTGTATTACTTACAATATCATAATCTTTAGTAGAAGATTCAACGTATGATCCTTTGTCAGTAAATGTTATTTTAGGCAGAATTCCAAAAATCTTCTGATCCCTCTTTATTTGGACATTTACAACCTTATGAATCTTCCATATCTCTATGACCAATCCAATAAATACTGATATTTTTACCAAGGTATTGGTGTCATTGTCAAGTACATACAGCAACACCACAACTGATTGGAATACATTGAAAAAGATAGATCTCACTGACAAGCCTTCAAGAGATTTTCTGTTCTTCCAAAACTGAATATCTAGGAACAAAAATAATAAAATTAAAGATCAGAGTTACATTTATACTCGTAAAACAAGCAATAGTAGATAAAAGAAAAAGATGTTATATAACTTACTTCAGAATTTGTGATGTAAATTGGTAATAATGACAAACTTACATTACTAATTTCCATATTATAGTTTGTTTTTTTAAATCACACTTAAGTGCAACCCATGTAACAGATGCTATCTAATTAAGATAACTTAAACTTAACACTTCTTCCATGAACTTGTAGTAGCATATTATAGACAAAACCTACAGCCATTACTCAATAGGTAGCAAAAATTCAGGACACACTCCACCAAGTGAGTGCTTACCAGTCATCACCAACAAATATATTTTATGCATAGTGCTGCTACCTAGTAAGACAAATTTGAGGTACATTTATAAATATTCTTCATTAGATTCACTGAAAAGAACCAATGGTCGGCAAGTCAACAATTGATATAATGACTGGAAAACAAGACAAAGCCTACAAGTCTAGGTGATTTCAGAATTTTTGTGCACTGTTGTAACTTGTACGTATGAGAGAAAAGTTTTTGTGGTTTTAATGACTGTGAATTATAATAAAAATTACTTAGTAAGAAGGAGTTAGAATAAAAGAAGTTTTAGGAAGTAATTATGAAGTTAGAATTACAATTAAAGACTTTCAGTTGTACATTGAAAAATGAATTTCCTCAATATACCAGAGCAAGTAACTAAATGCACAAAAAGCCATAATGAAACTGATACAATTTTTGCATGAAAAGTTAACAAAGACTCAACTATCAATGGACCAGAAAGTTACAGTAGTCCTAATTGTGTACCAAAACAAGTGTTAGTGAAAGTGATGTTTTCTGCGCTTCCAGTAAACAATGTTCTGAAAATACTGCCTTGTCTGACTCAGACACAAAGTATCCCTGCCTTATTGTTCCAACTCCAGCATTGAAAATTTTGTTGACATTACAACAGAGCAGCACAGTCATGCCTGGGAATTGTTAATATGTGCCACAGGCATATTCCAAAGATTCATATCAGTCATTATTATGGGCATACAATTCTATAACTTTCAACATTATACCAACTGTTAATGCCTCCAACCACCACCAACTTCAACAGCTGACCATGTAAAGCTGAAAGTAACAGAATCATGCAAACTAGGCCTCCATTGTGATGATTAGAATAACCTATGGAATGAGCCATTTGGAATTTCTTAATTACTAAAGCAACACTAATTGTCTGCTACAGTCAACACAACCATATAATCACATAGGTAAATATATGGCTGACAAAATATTCAAGGCTATGGAAGAAAATGATGGTGTAACTGATGATGACACCAACATGGAGGGCCTGGCAGTTACCCAAAAAAACGTATCCTGATAATCTCATGACAGCTTATGGTTGTATCTTGAGCCTTCTTGTGGGCAATACAAAGATCTAAGGTTCTCATCCTTTAATGAACTGTTCACTTTTCTGAAACCATTGGAGAAAGTACATTTTGCCTTTCTCATCTTATTCAAAGAAAGTATGTCCAAATCTTAAACAATGACAGCTTCTGTGTAAATGTTGAGAAAATAATCAAGCTTTCCAAACCTCTCACTAAATGGATTACCGTCCTTTAATCAAATACTCCATGAATGAGCTGTTCTACATCTTTAAACTTACCTTGTCAAGTGGTTCTCGAAAGTTTGTGTCTTAATTAAAGATGTAGAACAGCTCATGGGGCTCTTACCTCGAGAAACACTTGACAGTTAAACCACAAACTTCCTCATGAGCTGTTCTACATCTTTACACTTACCTCGAGAAACACTTGACAGTTAAGACACAAACTTTCCCATGAGCTGTTCTACATCTTTAAACTTACCCCGAGAATCACTTGACAGTTAAACCACAAACTTCCCCATGAGTTGTTCTACATCATTACACTTACCTCAAGAAACACTTGACAGTTAAGACACAAACTTCCCCAGTTATAAACTCTGAAAATAAACAAGTTCTCAATGCTCTCAAACATAAGGAAAAAATATTTCCCACAGTACTTACGACAACAAACATTTAGAGCCCTCCATACATATAAAACTCTCTTCACAGAAGATGATGCTTATGAATTATTCTATTTATGAAGTTTGTAGAAGATACGCCTCCTCCTGATGTTGATGAGAGAGAGAAGGTCGACTTGGCTGGGTAAAGAAAGAAAGAAGATTTGTGAGCCAAACCATTTATGTTGAAATACAGAATAGGTGGGAGCATTAACTCAAAATCAGAGACTGTCAGAAGAGGTGGAAAGTTATTTTAGAGTTATTTCCACTGAACAAGGTAGCTGTCACTATCCTCAACTTCCTTGGCTTTCTGCATACTGAGTGATTCTTCAGTATGTATATGTTTATGAAGTGTAAAAAAAGAGCTGAAATACTCCAAAGAGCTCTGACATGCTTTTAATACATAAAGATTTTGGCTGGAAGATCTCAGACTGGAGATAAAGTATTTGAAAAAGCATATTCCCAAGATAATCAGAACCTTATAATGAAATCACCACATTCAAAGAAGAAGATTAGAATAAGTCTGAGAAGACTGAGGAAGTGGTTTAGAAATGGAGACAACAATCAGAAGTAGATGGTGAAGAATCATATCAAGAACCAAGTGCAATTATAATTAAGCATGAGTTCTCAAAGACAACTTGTTAAGTCATATCAAAAACAGTGTTTATTTGTATTCTAAAATTAAGTCCAACTGTGATTATGGTTGATTACAAACATGAAAGACAACATAAAATTTTCTAACAGTTGTGTTTAGCATAAATAGAAAAACACAAGTTACTATCTTAATGTGTTCAAGAAAAGTGAAAATTGATTATTCTATAAAATAAATCAATTATGACTATATTCACCTTAGTATCCCTACTATTGTAAAGATTAAACAGAACAAATATCTTATTACTTTTGTAAAGTACTAAGAATTTAATCAGTCTTCAAACCTGTAATATTTTAATTTTCAACATTTAGATAATAAAAATATAATGATTATGAATATAAATATTCAAACACCAATAATTATATTTTATTGAAATACTCTACAGTTCATAAGAGCCACAGGAATGTTAGAATGTATAAACTACTACCATGACTAATATTAATGTGTTTTAATTACTGGTAATTTTATGTCAACAGCTACACTTGTACAAAAATTTAACAATTACAATCAATATTTAATAATACTACTATTTCTCGATGTTCTTTAGTTAATGTCATATATCAAGATATATTTTTAAAATGTACTTTTTACACTACTAAATTAAAACATTTTTCTTGATTTTTATTAGTAATCCTAAAATATAAGTTTCTGGCTACAATAACATGGGTATTTGAAGATGTTGCTACACTTCTTTCCAAAATGAAATAATGACAAATAATCAGTAACATTTGCTTTGATTATGTTACTTGAAGTCATTTAAACATCTTTCAAAAACTGTAGGTGTATAAAATAATTGTTTTAAACCTGTTTATCTGGTTACATATCATATTAGAACCAATAAGAAATGGTTCTGGGTATACTACAAACACCAGTACCCGAGTTTGTGTTCAAATATGAATATTTGAGATTTAAATATATGTTTATGAAATGTTAATAGTCGTTACATTATTGATTGATTAACATTTATAGCTACTTGGGCTATCTTGATCTTGAAACAACATTATAAAGAGGGTTTATACAATACACGATAACAAACTGTATGAGCAACAATGTTGTTTTTGGTCAATCATGTTAAAAGTTCTGATCCTCTTATAGGATTTCAAATTAAATGTGGTGATTCGAAAGTGCAGATGGTAACTAACGTTCTCTCTAATAATGGCTGGAGACGGCTTAAATGGGTAATGAAGAAAAACTTTAATCTAAGTTTGACATGACAG